TGAGTTTGAAATATAAAACCTTCAACGATAAAAAATAATATATTTTTTAAACTGACAGAAGCATTCGGACGAATATGTCCATATTGGACCGCCTTGTAAGTCTGATTGGGTCATATTTGAAGCATTAAAGATGGTAAGCTCTTAATGGTATTCTTTAACGTAGGTTGAAAAATCCATCCGTTTTCTCAGTTTAAAACCTACTTCGTCTACAACGAAGGCGAGTAAACGGCGCCATTTCTATCACTTAATTTTAAATTTGTGAAAACCCAATTGGGGCCATAACTTTAAAGGGGAGTATGACTAATTTACTTATTTAATTGAAAATATATCCACCAATCAAACTAATCTGTTTAAAGCCTTAATAAATTTTAAAACTGCAAATAGAAACTTCCCAACTATTACTTTTTTTGGTTTGACGTGGAACTGATCTCTTGAGTGTCCAATCACTACCACAATTGACTGATGTGAGTCACTCCATCCGCAGTAGGGTACTCGAATTTGGAATTGCGCATACATTTGCCGGCTATCCACACTTCGCCAACAACGAAACAACAACCGCCGACAGCCCATTAAAAATCTTTCAATTCGATTGCTTACCAAAGTGCAGCCCATACATAAATACAAACTGGCGTGCAGAAGGTGCGGAAAGAGCCGGCTTTCAAGTCGGTTCCTGATATCGGAATAATAGCTGCAATTATCAAGTTGTACATGTACCCACGGCAATGCGGCAATGCACTCCACTCGTCCACCGCAATCTCTCTAATTAATTGGAGCTGTCATGCAAATATTCCAACCCCTCCAACCCCTTTATTCAATTAGATCGAATGGACGGATAGGTTGAGTGGGCGGAGATTTCCGGGCCAAACCCTGAACATCAAATATAGCCCAATATCGGGAGCGTTAACAACAGCATAATCGGCACGAGGTCCGATAACGTGGGCCAATTTGAGTATTGTAGACTGGCGTGATACCGATTAGATTAGCGCAGGAGACCAAGTCCATCCAAACACCTGAACGTGGCCCTTGGCTGGAACCGTAAGTGGTTGATTGGGAAATCCTTGAACAACATGCATCCGAGTGTTAACGTCCACTTTCGTCATAATTCGCAGCCGGAGAGGGGTGCTCTAAATTCGAGGAGTGTAGGAAATACTTCCCTAATCAGCCTAAAGCGATTGGCCTAAACCTAAGTGAAAAGCAGTTTTCGTTAAAAGGCTACTCGACTAGCAATATAATCGAATATTGAGGCCTTAAAATAGTTATCTGTCAGTAAACCATTAATTGGCGTTTTTCTAAAGAAACAATTGTATTAGAAATTATATGAAACCCTTAGAAGTATCTTGAATTTCTTTATGTACATTTGGCAGTCTCACCTGATCATGCTACGCGCTTTTGCGGCTACCAGAAGAAATGTTTTAATAAAATAGCTTTTAAGGGTCTGCGTTTTATATCATACAGCTGCCATGGGAACATTCGAATAATATATGCGTATTTGAAAAATAATAGTTTAATAGAATACTTTATTTTTGTAATAGCTGCAAGAGCTTATAACCTTCCGTTTGTCGAAGTTTACTTCCTTTCTAGTTTGTCGTATTCGACTGATTTTTAAGTAAAAAAATCTCTGAAAATATACAACATTACTATAGTCGGAGTGTATATGTTTATATTTAAAAACGACAAAGTTATAATTTTTATACCCTTGCAGAGGGTATTTCCGACCCTATAAAGTATATATTTTTGATCAGCATCACCAGGAGAGTCTATCTAGCCATGTCCCTCTGTCCGACTTTTTACATAGAAACGGATAAACAGACAGAAATGGCTTAATCGACTCGTCGGCTTTATGAGTCGTACATTTCTTCTTTACTACGTTGCAATCTTGTCACTGAAATTATAGTACCCCGCGAAAGGGTATTAAACCATAGAGTTGTTATTTCCGTGAGGAAATTTGGATTGGGCTGAATGTTTTAATAAATATTTGGAAAAGACAAATCGTTTTGAAATATAAATCTCTCGAATGGCTCTATGTGCAATGTTACCAAAATTTAAGTAAACCGAAGAGGATGACCTCGCTCTCCACTGTTTATTCATTGGATCTGGCCACTGCACAGTGTGATTGAAAACTAATTTCAAAGTGTTTCGAGATGTAAATAATGTGTGTCAATATAAATAATAAATGTTTGCACGTAAAATACAATAATAAAGCAACCTTTGTCTCTTTGGAATATATAAATTAAATGTATAAAATTACAGATTTTATTTATCTAATGGAGTCTAAAATAATATGTAAATAAAGTTATTTTTTTAACTGTTTTATATTTCGCTTTTGTTGCTTTTCCTTTCTTTTACAATATTGAATGTTAATTTATCTTCGAAATGCACCCTGCTGTAAAAAAAAACTTCCCAGCTTATAATTTTACATATGTTTGGTCCACTGTGCGATGGTCAGCGGATCAATTGAAACCGGAATACAATGAAGGGGAAGTGCATCCAGTGTGGAAGGAAAGCCAATCGTAAAACCAGTTTGAAATCCACCAGATGACCCACTACAACATCGTATGTTGCGCGAACACACATGGCCACATGTCGATTTTTGCGCTTTTCGAGAGTGTGCAAATAAATTAAATTCAATATCAAGGGAGTTTCGGTGGCCACGACCGAGACCTTCCCCAATGTTGGCGGGGCTCTAAGCACTCAATATACGGGGAAAACAAATGGGGCGTACTCACCTCTTCTTGTTGGACATTTTGCCGTAGGCGATTATCCAGAGGGCCGCCGTCATGCCCGCCACGCCGACGATGGCGCTCTGGTTGTTGGCCAACTTGCTTAAAGCCGGGGCCATTATTCCGCTTGCGATTTGGCAACGGTTCTCGTTCGGATTCGGGAGCTGGGAATTCGGAAATCCGGGTGCGCACTTGTAGGGGAGCGGATTTGAATAAGAGTGTTGGGGACGACACCGCACGTGGACACAGCGAAAAAATTATAAAAAAAAAGTAAAAGATAGGGGGCATGCAAATAACACTATTGTTTACTGCACGAATATTTATAAATTAATTTGCTGTTCGATGACGACACACACACACACACGGCAGGATGTAAACACCTGGTTTTTTGAACAGCCCTGTCTTTGATTCGACTCGCTCGCTCTGGCTCTCTCTCTCTCTGCCACAGCCTGCCTGCTGCTTCCTCTTATTCCGCTGCTGCTTTGCTCCTTTTCTGGCCAAATGGGGTGGGCAAAGTGATTGTCACACACGGTGGGCGCTTTTATTTATTCAATTTTCGCCAAGCGCATTTCTTTGTTTGGTAATTACACTCTGCTCTCGGCTCAATCGAATCGAGAAATCGGACGAACTAAACGTGCGACGCGCAAAAGCCAGCGGGCAACTAACTGTTCGATCTGCGGCAGTGTTGGCTAAGTCGCAAAAGTGTGGGACAGCGACAGTGCTGCTAGAGCAGACATTTTCCCGTGTGATCTGGCTATTTCTTAGATTAAACACGTCAAATCTGATAAAAAATATCGCCTTTAAAATTAAAAAATTTTGATTATTTATTTATGAACTACATTAAAAAGGAATACTAATATATAATATTGGCTAAAATACATTATTGAAAACAAATATGCGAGAATTTTATTTAATTTTCTGACGTGTTACAAGTTTGGTTGTTTTTTGTCTTTATTCTGTGAAATATGGTCCTCACATAGTTGCTTAAAAGAGTTGTTGCAAATAAGTTTTTGCAATCCATTCACTCAGGCGGGTGCCTGTTGAAAAAAACTGAATACCAGCATAATTTTAGGGCATTCACAGCATATCTTTTTCTGGAACAAGTTTTTCTTATGGAAGAAAAAAGCGCTCTTGTGGAATTTGGTCGCTGTTGCAGAAATACTCTCTGTGTAAATAGGCTTTTATCAGGCGTGTCGCAAATAACACTACAGATTTTTTTGAGCATAGCTTTCGAAAACAACAGAACATATTTAGAATATTCAATAATCGATTGAATGGTGTAATTTCATTCCAGCTGGGCCACACAAATTCCACCTTCAGACTACAATAATCGAAATGTTGAAATATTTTTTGACCAATTTATGGTAGAATCATTTTAATATATAATAATTAACAAAACTCTCATCACTTATGTATAATTCAACTTATTCTGATATTACAAATAATTACTTGTAACCGAATTGTGCATAGTATTTTACTATATATAAATCAATAAGACTGCAATAATGGAAACGTTGAAATATTTTTTGACCAGTTACATATAGATTTTAGGAACATTCCTGTGTAATGCCAATTTATGGTAGAATCATTTCAATATATAATAATTAACATAACTCTCATCACTTATGTATAATTCAACTTATTCTGATATTACAAATAATTACTTGTAACCGAATTGTGCATAGTATTTTACTATATAGAAATCAATTGTGGAAATTCTGAATATTTTTTATTTTTAGCATACAAAATAACAGAAAATGCATACCATTTTTGAACTGCTGATGTTTTAATCTACAAAAAAAAATTTAGCTATTGATTGTAAAAAATATAACTGAATAATTTAATTTTCCGTTGATAGGTCAGCTTCTTTTCTGTCAGCTATAAACACATTACAAACATATTATAAGAGTAAAAAATTCAATGAGGAATTAAACAAATTAAAAATTTTCCTAATATAGTTTCGTTGTGGTAGAAGTCTATAATATGCACAGAAATTAGAAAAACCCTTTTTTTTAATAGAAATAAGCAGTTTTCTCAAAACTTTAATTTCAAAATGAAATCATTGGCCAAACTAAACTATTTTAGTGCGTAAGACTCCACAAGTTATCTAATTCCGAATTAGAAGTCATCCTAGCTTATCAGATTTCGGACCCGTCATTGGGTACCAGGTAAATGTGTTTCCTCACCCATGAGTCGACACCCTTCTTATCTTATGAAGGCCTGTGGGCAGATTAAAGGTTGTGAAATCTGCAGGGCCAATGAAAACGCACAAAACGGGTGTTCAACAAAATGTGTGTATTCTCTGAGAGTTCATAGCCAGCAAACCATTTAACAAGGGACCTTCGATTACAATATAACTCAATTTTATGTCAAGCCGACGCAGGTCCCGACCGATGGGGTGGCTCTGGCCAGGAACGGGGCACAGGGCACTCAGTTTAGGCAGCGGATTTCCGCCGAGCAGGAGTTCCGTGGTTGTGATGGGCATGCCGAGCAATATGTGGGACAAGTCTGGTCAACATGGCAGCACCGGGCGGGACCCGAGAATCTCGGCGAGATGTGGCTGGGGCGCTTAGTCGCAGGAGCCGTCCAGCCAGCCGTCACGCCATCTCTCATTCACCTTGCTGCAGTCAAAAAGCGGCTTGCCGAGCTTGTCGTTAACCCGGTTGTGGAACTTGCACAGCCACATGGCCAGCTCCTTCTGCGAGTTGACATTGATGGGGTTGACGTCCAGGCTGTAAGAGACCATAGCGTCAAAGATCTGCACTTAAGGGCGCTGCTAAGGTGAACTTACTCGGTGCGGAAGTCCTTAGCGCAGAACTCGCAGGGATAAAGGCGCGACAGCACCTCAAAGAAGGTTTTCATGTCGCGCTTCTCTGTGTCCGTGGGGTTGTCCGAATAGAATGCGGCCATGGTGTGGAGCAGACCCCAGGTGGAGATGCCAAGCCGTACCTTGTCCAGCGGGCAGTCGTCGCGGGGCAGGGCATCCTCGGCGGCGTTCACAGTTAGCTTCTCGGCGGCGGCCATGTGCTTCACCTGGAAGGAGGGGAGGCTCGATTACGGGCTGGCTGCGTTGACGGAGTGGACAGCAAAATCACGTCACCTTGGCGCTCTGAACGCTGGAGATCAGGCGCTGCTGCTTCGACCACGACTTGAAGTCGTTGCAGGTGCGGCAGTTGGAGTCCTGCTTGCCGGCGGTGGCGGTGCTCTTGCGATTTGCCGCAAATGGTGACTCCTGGTAATCCTTCTCAGACTCGGGATTCGCCTCGGAGGACATGCTAAAGTCCGGGTCGCGGATCAGGCGGAGCACGGTGCGCTGCAGGCGGCGGATTACCAGACGAGTGGCTTCGCGACTGAGCTCTAGTTGTGTGGGGCTGCTGTAGTCGTAGCCGTAGTTGTAGCAGTGGCGTCGCAGGAGGAGCGTAGTGGCAGTGGGCAGTTCTAGAATCTTGAAACTTCGCTCGGCTATTGTGAAAATCATAAAAAGCATGCGCATGGTTGCCACCTTGTTTCAAAACGACACATTACTTTAAAACCTGTTTGATTGTTAGTTTTGCACTGACAAAGCGGAAATCGAGCAATGCTGCGGGCAAAGGGCCGTGGCCGAAACCTGGGCGAAGGTTGAGGTCCAGGCAGACGATTTTTAATTCAAATTGTTCTGGCCAGCGGGCAGTCTGGTAGCCCAGCCGCAGCAGTAATAGATAACAAGTAGTTGCGAGGAGCAGTCTGGCAGCCCAGCCGCAGCTGTGATCGATAACCAATCGTTGCAAGTTGCGTCCGCAACCGCCACAATTCAAAAAGCAAAGCGGGAAGCGGCTTTCTAAGGGACTCCCTGAATACGACGGACAGGTAAACTTACATGTGAAATTGATGGAAGCTGGCAATTGTGAGTGATGCAGCCCCAGATAAATTTTGAGCCTTGAAACTGTTTAAAATAGAATAACACATATGCTATTGGCAATATTTATTGATTTTTCTAATCCAAATTTTTAACGTACACAATACAATTTTTGAAGACTTTTCCGTACACTTCTACATTTACAGGTTTTATATCTGATCTGTGACATAATTCGCAAAAGCTCAGTGTGATATAAAGGCACAATCTCGGTTATTTGTATTAATACAGTAAATTCACTTAGTAACAACAACTACAGCTGGCACGTGAGTAAGACAAGTTAACAACTGGCCGCCGGGTTTGGGTTTGGGTTAGCTCTTCTCTGCCCTGCTTCAGACATCCTGGATTCGAGCAGCTCGCAGTGGTTAGACGTACGACACATATATATATATATATATATATAAAAAAAGAGTCCTTAAAGCTGATTACAAACGATGTAGCAGCAGATTTTTTTTATTTATATGCAGGAGCATTAGAACGCTCGAATGCTTCAGCTGCTGCACCGTTTACAACCAACTTTGGAACGCATATAAATTAATCGTGTAAACATTACAAAAGGTTAATATAAAATATAAAATTGGCGCCGATTGTTGCCCCTCTGGCTTTGCGGTTCGCTTCCTCCGGCTTCCACTCAGGCGTAATCCCTAAACATGGTGAACAGGCTGTAAAGGACACGCAGGGTGGACTTGAGGTCCATGTTGACGATGTCCTCGGGCCGCGCCTTTGGCTTGGGCAAGCCCACGTCTTGCATCAGGTCAAAGGCGAAGGCCACGTTGCTCACCATCTGATCGACGTCCTGCGGCGTCAAATGGAACTCGTGCAGCGGGACAAAGAAGCCCCCAAGCAAGCCCATTAGCAGGCAAAGATAAACGCCGTCGCGGAAGTCCGTGTTTAGGTCGCTGATCTCGAAGTTCAGCTTGGCGAGGTGCTTATTCACGAACGTGATCAGGGACTTCTTCACCACGGCAAGCTTGTCGGGCGCACAGTCGATCAGAGTGTCGAAGGCGTCCTTTTCGCAGCGCATGCCCAAGTCGTCGTATTCAGAAGTTATCTGCTCTTGGAACTTCTGCGCATTCAGCACTCCCGCGTTCTTTTCCGCGATCACAACCGTCACGAACACGTTCTCCGGTAGGCGAACGGGCGCCCGGAAGTGTCGTACCAGAGCCACCAGCAGGTGGAGAATGGCCACAATGTTTTTCGAGTGCACGCTGGCCACCGACCACTTTGGGATCTTCTGGTGAAAGCCGAGTGTCTGTGGAAATAAAGAGAAGATGGGGGATATAGTGGAGCAATTCCAATCCCTATGAAAGTCGAACTATAATTCGGCGAATCTTTCGCTTAAGGTGCACACCAACTATTGTCAAAAATACAAGAATAATTTGTATTATGGTAAAACCGACAGGCACAGAAGCAATTTGCTGCTGACGGAATTTTAGCTAGCATCAAAAGAAAGCTTTTTAAAATGAGGAAGTACCCTAATACATTGTTTTTCAGTTCAATTATAATGTTTTAACTTCACGCACTTTAAACAACTATCCATGTGCATTTGCTTCAAGGAAAACTTATATCATTCCTTATGGTATAATAATAATATAAGAGTGTGACTCTTCTATCAAAAACAATTTTTTTCTACCATTCGCTTTGTGTGAGCTTCTTTTGCAAAAAGTTATGGTGGAGCATTCGAAACTCATAGGGAATATCAAGGAAAAACGCTATTATCGCTATAAAATCCAAAATCTCGACGTTCATACGGACTACTAGCTACTGATCCCGATATTTACTTTATAGTTTCGAAAATACTTACTTCCCTACTTTACGAGTTTAAACTAATTTCGAATGAATGCAGATAAGGGTGGTCCAAAATAAAAACCTTACTCTCTGTATAATGTGTGAAATAAATTTATTCGAAAGATAACAAATTTTATTAAGTTTTAGGCGTTTTTAATGCCAGCAATAATAAATTTGTTGATCAAAGGCAACTGTGCGTATAAGTGATAAGCTTAGAATCCAAGGCGGAGCCCCAAAAACACATTTTTTCCTCAAATTTCTTCTGGTTTGCATTGATTGCAGTAAAAAGCTTAATATAAGCGGGTGAGAGTAAGTCCATAAAATGTTCATAAAAATTTGTACCGCCCTTATTTATTTACATATGTGTATTACTCACAAATTAAAAAAAAACTTTGAAAGCGAACTTTTGCAATCCGATAGTTACAGGTTTTGGAATTATTGGTTTAAATAATCCAAATCTTGTATATTTAAAACAACGAAATTTTTTAAATTTCAACCGATCTTTTCTATGGCAGGATAGTTATAGTGACCCGATCGGCATAATTTCTTATTTGTAAAATTTGTTGTTGATAGCTTTACACGTACATACCTATGGTCACTGCGACAAATAAATGGCAGCCATAGGATATAGTAACCGATATGGTCAGTTGAAAGCTTTTAAACTGTTCTAGTTATGCTGATATTTTATAGATCCAGAAAAGAAATTGTACACTAAACCACATTTTGTTCAAGACCTTTACGGTTGTAGACAAAAATATTTTGATAGTTTGAGTTGTTTCGAGAAAAACATACTTTTCTAAAACATGGTTTGTTTGTCATAGTTTAATCAACAATGATTCAAAAATGGAAAGGCCGAGACTTTTTACATTCCCGTGAGTATATGTACTTATGAAAGTCGTACCAAAAATCGTTCTACGATTGGATATACATGGTAAATTTGAAGAAGTCTATTGGATTAGAACGAGGTAAAGGGAATTTTCTTAGAAGACAATTAATTGGCTAACTAGCGTGTTCCTATAGCCTTGCAGATGGCATAATATTGTCTAAATTATTGTTCAGAAAATTGAAATCCAGACAAGGCCCGTTCAATTTATCCTGCAGGATCAGGCTTGACATAGTATCAAGGACACTCACATGGTTAACGGCCCTTAGGACTATGTTGAGCTTCTCATGCTGACCCTGCTCCGACTGTGTGACTTCCGGCACATCCAGCTTCTTGCCCGTGAGCTTCTCCCAGAGTTTGTGCAGCACCTGGCCGTCATACATGTCCTCCTCCAGATGCTGGACGATGATCCGTTGCTCGGCCAGCTCGTCGTTGATCCAGTCGACGAGGATTCGCTGCAGCTTGACCACCTCGGGATCATTGATGGACTGTGGATCGATGACGGCGCGCTGTTCGTGCTCGCCTGTAAGAATCGGATAGGATAAGTTTTTGGACTCGGGATAGAGATTCCCTCCCAGAGGGATGCACTTACGCAGGGCGTAGTCCTCGGGCGGGATATCATACTGGCTGGGCGAGCCGGGAGAGTCGATGGCGTACTTGCCTTCCTCCTGCACCTTCTTCACTGAAATTGTAGCGAACAGGGAACGTATTTAATGATAGCATCTACAAGATAAACAAAAACGATGACGACACATGGCCATCACACGCACACAGTCCCCTTTGTTTGTGTGCGTCATCAGTGACGCAATGTTCTGATTAATCAGCCCATCTGTTCTCAGAAGAGCTTCGTAAACCGAAAAGGAGGCGTTTCCGGGATGCTTTTTGCCATCATTAGAGGGTTTGGATGTCTAAGTATAGAATCCAGTGGGAACGGTGCACTCCCTCCCCAAACAGAGTCAGTAAACGAACTCCAAGGGATCAACCTACCTTCGCGGGTGCCGCGTTTGCGACCCAGGGTGCTGAACTTGTCCCAGAAACTGTCCTCCTTCTCGCCCTTTTTGATGGCGGTGGGCGTATGCGGAGACTTGGGACGGTTCAAAGTGGACATGGCGCTAACGGAGCTACGTTTCTGGACTCTGAATAGCGGATTACAACTTTCTGTTATTGTTTCGTTTGGCGGAGCTGAGCAATCAGTTTCCCTTGGTGCTGCCACCCGATCGCAGACACATCAGCGGCGCTGACCAACACTGGAATTCGGACTCGACAAACTTAGCACAGATAATTCCCATGATATCCCTATTTATAATCTTCAGATCAATAAATATTCCATTGATATTTTAATATTGAGTAATTTAAAACAACTTACATAATATTACTAAGGCTATACCACATAAAAAGATTTCTTGAGCCTTAGATGACATATCTACTTACTCTACGCTTCAGAAATTGAGTACAAATTTCCAAAGTTCAGTTCAAAAACATTTAATATATGATTCCACTTGGGGCATGAATACACCCTTAAGAATAAAAGATATCAAACACATTTCATCCATATTAGATCAGACAGAATATATGTAAGTGTGATTATATCAAGGGCTTTGGTTCAGATGGAATTGGGCAACTGGCACGCCCTCACCGCTACGAGCTGCAAGAGCACAAAGATCGGCGAGAAGACTTCCGAGTACTCGAGGCCGGTCTTGCTGGAGAGCTTCAGGCAGAGCAGGTATTTAAAGATGGCAATCAGCACCAGAAAGTAGGTGCTCCACATAAAGCGGTGCAGTGCCTTGCGCTTGTTGTTCGAGTCCAGGTACATGCGGATGCCCACAATGACGCAGAAGTACGCGTTGCAAATGTCGATGAAGAACAGGGGGCTGAAGACGGTAAACCAGTCACACATGGCCTCCGGCAGGATACCACCGGGTCCGGCACTGGCCTGCAGGTGCAGCTTGACGGCCAGCGTGATGGTGAACACCAGTAGGCCGCACAGGTTGACCAGGATCTCGAACTCAGTGAGCCCTAGCCAGCGCACCAGCTCCGAGAGCTTGAACATCCCGACAGCCGACTGCCTACTGCCTGGCCTTTGGTTTGCCGCGGAACTGGGCCTGGGATTGGGACTGCGACGGCTGTGGCACGACGATGTCGAAAAGGCTGCGGTTGAAAACCTTGATGTGCAGAGCCGAGTTGTTGCGCTGGCGGAAGGTTACGTCTTCGTCATCGCACAGCGGATGCAATTCGTCCACCAGCTGCACGGTGGAGGTATTGATGGCGTAGCTGAGCGCACCTTCTGAGTTGTGGACGAGGCGTAGAGCGAGATTGAGGCCGCGGGTGACCGAGAAGCCCATGCAATGCAGGAAGATTTCCCGGGCGCCGGCGTTGAGCAGCTCCTCGCAACGGCGCTGCTGTGACTGCCCGGGACACAAAAAACATTAAGGATTACCACTTGGGAGAACCAAGACTGTTGTTCACTTACCTTAAAGTCTGTCTTGCTGGTGATGTAGATGTTGTGTCGGTCGCTGGCGGGTCGCGGCGGCTGCTTGCGCACCACTCGGTGGTTGTGGCGGTGTCTGGTGGATCTCGGCTTGGTCCCGTGCTCGGGAGGATTGCTTCCCATTATCAACAGCGGAGGAGGATGCGACTTGTGTTTTCCATCCGCGCGTGTCACAGTTTCGGACTCCGAGTCCGATTCCGAATCGGCTTTCGGCAGTAGGCAGCACTGGCGCTGTGCCAACGGCGATCTGGCAACCCAGCCCTAGCTGTCACTCTGACAGCCAACGATAGCTCCGTTCGACCATCGCCATTCCTATCGCACAGGGGCTCGTGAGATTCTCGGCAGTTGAAAATTTTTCGTCGTACTCTCGGAACAACAAAGGTATGTTTTTCGCACCTTATCAAGTAAACCAGACCGTAAGCCAAGGCACCGATCGATCGATTCGAGTGCCGTCTAGCCCCTAAAAAAAGAAACTGGGCCGTAAACCGTAACTTCGCAATCCGCAACTCGTAACTCGTAACATACGCACACACACATAGACACTTGCGCACTAACACTTCCGCTGGCCAATATTCCTCGGGCAGGAGGAAAAGTACAAGTTACATAACTCGATGGTGATGCGGGGGCAGGGGCAGGGCTGGTTGGGGACGGGGACTCCGTCGTCTGCATCCGTAAGTTGCCCCGATCCAGGCGGGGATCCAATCCAATCACCCTGGGTTACATAAGTCTACGCTCGCAAAGGGGGTGGACGCAAAAAAAAACAGCCCTAGTATATCCTTAACCACAATCGTAGCCAGAAAAACAAATCAAATCAAATCCCATGCACTGCGCGTCCTGGTTCGAGTAACGTTTTGTATTCATGCGTTCAAGTCATTTTTCCATGCAGGCGAATCCGAAAATCCGATACGTTTCAGAGTCGCAATCAGTCAAGAGTTAAGCACTAAACCCAAGAAAAACAAGCAGGCGCACCTGCAACTGATTCGAATCGATACGATACGATCTGATCCCATCAAGACAATCCAAACGGAAGGAATCCTCCAGCACGGATGATAACGTAACGTAGCCGCAACGTTGGAGCAACACCACTTCCACCGCAGCGGACATCGCAAACAAGTAAATTACCATTTCTCATTTTATCAAACAGAAATCTGCCAGCCAAGTACAATCAAAGCAATCAAATCAAATCAAATCAATGCATCCAAATCCAAGTCAAAGTCTAAGTATCCAATATCCAAATTGCATAAGAGTCGCGTATATGCGCCGTGAACAGAGCCTGTTCCGCGAGCATTTCTTGTCGCCCACATCCACTTGGTTGGAGCTCTGGCTCCCTAATCCGGACCCAAATCCGGTCCTCCGGTCGAGGAGCCAGCGCCAGCCAAGTCAAGTCAGCGCAAGAAATTACGCTAGATTCTCGATTCTCGATTCTGACAAGCGTCAAGCGAACAGAACAGAACAGAACCAAACGGCAGATACTAAAAAGAAAAGAAAACAGAAAGCATACTGATATTGTGTATAGGTATTTCGTAAACGCGCTTCTGCCAACTGCTCGATTTAACGCGGCATAGTTTCGAATTGCAGATCATCACTACATCCGACATGTCGGCGGCCCGCCTGCCCTACTATCAGCAGGATCAGGACGACCATCACCTGCAACAGAGGCGTGCCGGGCGCGGCCATCAGCGCGGCCACAACGAGCGAGCCTCCGGAGGAGCTTCCAGGCGAGAGCGCAGTCGCTACAGTCGGAGCCGTTCCCGCAGTCGCAGCCGCTCCGCGGAGCGCTCTGGCCAGCGTCGCCGCCGCCAGGAGCCGCAACGGCAGCAGTCCCGCTACCACAGGGACCGCGACTCCAGAGATCGTTCCAGAGATCGCTCCAGAGATCGCTCCAGAGATCGTTCCAGAGATCGCTCCAGGGATCGCGAACGTGATCGAGAGAGGGACTACTCCAGACGCTCAAGTCACTACCGCCGTTCGGAGTCGCCGACCTCTGGTCCTGGCCTAGGATCCAGCAGCAGCAGCCAGCGAAGAGGACACTTGCCAGTATCTACCGGCAGACCAGAGTTGAGCGCCGTACAGAAGGCTGCCGCAGCAGCTGCCGCTGCTGCAGAGCACGTCCAGTTGGCCGGCAAAAGCAGCGCCGCTGCTTCGGCCGTGGGCGCCTACTACAACCTGGACACCGACGAGCCCTTCGACAAGGAGCGCATTCACCGCGAGATGGAACAGAAGCTGCGCGAGACGCTTGCCAGGGAGGGCAAGGTGTACCCACCGCCCAAGCCGGAGCCACCTTCGCACCCCGTCTTCGCTAACGACGGCTCGTTCATGGAGTTGTTCAAGAAGATGCAGGAGGAGCAGAAGCAGCAGGTGGGCAGCCATCAGGTGCAGCAGCCAGCGATCCTCGCCGCCGGTGGAGCGGAGGAGGTCCTGCAGCAGCAGCAGTTGGCCTTGGCCGAGGCCACCACGGTGCCCGTGCTGCCGGCAATCGCGTTGGGGGCTGCCAGCAGCGCTGCCGCTCCGTACATCGCCGCTGCGGCGGCAGGCAAGTTGGCGCCTCCCCCTCCCCTTGTGGGACGACGACGCGGCGGAAAAGTCCTAAAGACCGGCGTAGTGGCCAAGCTGAAGACGCCCAACGAGAGCGATGTGGACCCGAAGGACTTCTGGTCGCTGTATTTGGCCGAAGTCAACAAGTACAAGAGCAACGCCTGTGACACGGACAACGGCAAGAGACCGCTGGTCAAATAGTAGCAGCAACAGTCCCGCTCCTCATAGAAACATGAACTTGAACGCAGGCAGAGGGGCAAACGTGAACTCCCCAGCCCATACTCGATTTCGATTCGACCAATACCCCTCTCGCACTTTGCGATCCCCTTCTGAATATTTTGTACACGGGAATAAGCGAGCACAGATCCGTAGTTTGTAGTTATAGTGGAGGGCTTTCGAGCTGCAAGCGCGAGCAGTGTAATTTGTATTTTTTTCACACGGGTCGAGGGAATAGCTGCAGCCTCGATATACACATAATTAAATAATCATAGTCTAGATCGTAAGCCTTAACTTTAGAAGAACCATACGAGATGTATCTCTCTATTTAATATGATATATACCGCTCATTAAGCAACCACAAACTTGAAGAACTAACCTTTGTGATTTATATATTTATCTCTTCCTCCCCGTTTATGCACTGAAATTGTATTTATCGTATCGTTTTCATTCTCATTTGGTTATGTACCTCGCCCTCACGTTAATCCACCACATCCATTCATCTCTTTCTTTTTCGTTCGGACTGTATAACTCCTTCTCTGTCTATCACTGCCTTGGTTTACGATTTGGTTGCATTTCGATCGATGATTTCCTCCTTGCCTTCGGTTCCGTTCGTTTTTATTTTCTTTTCCCAACTAAAGTCTATATGCAATTTTTCATGTCCAAAAACAAAAGCAGCGACAAATCGTCAGACAGCAGCAACATGTCCGCCTACAAGCTGGAGACCGCCCCGTTCGATCCACGGTTCCCTAACCAGAACGTGACCCGCTACTGCTACCAGTCGTATATCGACTTCCACCGCTGCCAGAAGAAGCGCGGCGAGGACTTCGCGCCCTGCAACTATTTCCAGAAGGTCTACAAGTCGATGTGTCCCAACGCCTGGGTGGAGAAGTGGGACGACCAGCGCGAGAGCGGCACATTCCCGGGCCGCATCTAAATCCGGCCACCGCATCCCGACCCCAAACACAGGACACGAACGATGGGCGGACGTAAAGGAGCGTGGCAACCAGAATTCGGCAATTGCAACCATTTCGACAGCGACTAGTTCATGTTTGTGCTTTCCCGAGCGATGAATGCAGACCATCATCGACAAATACAAATACACAAATGTTCAATTATCTGAATTCTGAATCGACTGTTTGTTTCTTCTTAATCTTGCTGCTGGCCGAAAAGGAATTCGAAACAGATCCGCGCAACTGTATTCCGATGTGTTATTAATTAATAAAATATTAGTCACGAAGACGTCATCGTTTCGTCATTGACTTGGAGGAACTGAAGTTTCCACAGTGAAGTCCAATCGCCATCAGTCATCAGGAGGGACAAAACTAACAATTTTTGAAATATTAGTCACTTTGATCACTTTTACGAGAAAAAAAGTAGTTCCCATTTTTTTTTCTTCTAATTCATTCTTATGTTATGAGATATTCTTATCTCAATGTTTCTGAATTTTTACTTTTTATACCCTTGCAGAGGGTATTATAATTTTGGTCAGAAGTTTGTAACGCAGTGAAGGAGACTTTTCCGACCCTATAAAGTATATATATTCTTGATCAGGATCAATAGGGGAGTCGATATAGCCATGTCCGTCTGTCCGTCTGTCCGTCCGTCCGTCTGTCCGTCTGTCCGTCTGTTTCAATACCGTTTGCGAGCTCAGTTTAAAAGCTAGCGATCTGAAACTTTCACAGTCGTCCTAAAACAAGTGTACGCAGATCAAGTTTGAAAACCGCCCCGATCGGATGTCTATATCCTATAGCTCCCATAGGAACAATCGGATATAACTTGCAAGAATGGAAGATATTTCGCGCAGTGTAAAAGCTATTGACATAAATCTTTCCAAATCTTATTTTTTTATGCGAACCTTGATCAGAGTAAAAGCGCGTGACGATCGGACGTCTATATCCTATAGCTCCCATAGGAACAAAAGGGTAAAATCGGTTAAAATTTAATGATTTTTAGGATATTTCACGCAGTATACAAGCTATTGACATGAATCTTTCCAAATCCTATTTTTTTATGCATACATTGATCAAGGTGAAAGCGCGTGCCGATCGGACGTCTATATCCTATAGCTCCCATAGGAACAATAGGGTGAAATCGGTCCAAATTTGATGATTATCAGAATATTTCGCGCAGTGTGTAAGCTACTAACATAAAATTTTCCAATTCTTATTTATTTACGCATATCTTGATTAGGGTAAAAGCGCTTGCCGCTCGGAAGTCTATATCTTAAAGGAGATAGGAAAAATTGTTAAAGGCTGCGAAAGTATCCCTTTTTTTCTATTTGTATATGACATTTTTGCAGTATAAAATCAATTGACTTGAAACGATGCAAATCTAGTTTACTTATGTATACCTTATTCCTTTCGCTACTTTTTCACTTTTAGCAATTTCGTCAAAGTCTGCAAGGGTATTAAAACTTCGGCTTGCCGAAGTTAGCTTCCGTCCTCGTTTTTATTAATTACAAAATATTTTTCTCGAATTAAATGACTTCTATTAATTATTTTTTAGATTCAATAATTATTTCCTTTTTTTCTTATTATTTATTTTAATTTAAGAAAGATTTTAAAGATCCGCCAAAGCTTTAAACAACTTTTTTTTATAATTTTAGTAAAATGTCAGTTTTTTTTTAATTTGGGCTTAAGGTTTATTTTATGGATATTTTTGGAAATCACATTTGAATTATTTATGTATTTCAATCTAAAAACGTACTGTGAGTTGAAGAAAAACACATGTGTGGCCTGCATAGTTTATTTAATATGTTTTCTTTTTGGATATTACAGATGCTTTTATCAGCAGTATTCTCAGCTTCGATTTCACTTTGGCACCAGAAATTTGAAAATCCACCAAAGCAATATTCAAAGCTAGAATCGCACTGACTACAATCGTTTTTTATTTAAATCCTTTGATTTTTTACTTAGATTTTAATGTGCAACTCTTTTATGATTTTTAATACTTTAGTTTGCAGTTATTATCCTTTTCATTATATTTATTTAAGTGTGTCGAACGTTTGTCTTACAAATTTATTTTATTCGCCGAGCTTAAATTTGCAACATACCCCATTATCCTCCGATTAGACATTGCTTTTAAACAATAAAATCACGAGAGGAACCGAATTAACATCTTATAGGAAAAGATACTGAGTCAAACTTTTCATAAATAATTCATTTTTTAAGATTGAAAATGCATTGGTACTAATCGATAATAAATACAAATAAAGCTCTTGATAGGTTATTGCATTTCCAACTTCTGACCATCTTGCTTTAAGAATATGAAATTCAAGACCTGTTAATTTAAAAATGTCAGTTGCTAAAAGTTTTGCCATTTTGTATTATTCTTATTGATTAGCGAATCTATTTTCAATTTTAAAGAATTTTCGAAATATTTTTATCTGGCTTATTTCGTTTTTACAGTTTGTTGGATAGTTTAAAATCAACAATTGCGGACGGCAGCAATTCCTAAAAACTAAGAGCTAATAACATAACAGGAAACTTGAGTTGTACATATATTTGTGATTTGGAAACCAACCGATTCGATATGGAAGTTTCTGCCTGGCAATGTCCAATCCTTCAAGGCTTGCAGAAATTTTTCTGTTTTTCTTTTTTACTCATTATATTATAATTTTGCAATTGTTCTTTGTAAATGTCCAGCTAATGAGCCCAACCTTTTTTGCGCTAAATGAAAAAAACTCTTGTACTAAAAAAGATCGGAATTAAGTCTAAAAAGGTGATAAAGTGGAAAAGAGTGGGAAAAGTTTATAGGATCACATAGCATGTTGTGTGAAAAGAGTTTCAAGTTTAAAATTAATATTTAAAAATACTTATGGAAGACTGTCAAGACCTTTCAAATGTATTTTTTCTTATTCCACTATTTATGTTCGCAAAAATTGCGCCTAGGCTCTTTAACTAGACAGTTAAAAACGTTTTATATCACTTACCTTGGTACATATGTCTCGGCTAGCATTGATCGCGTGAAATTTTTGGAATTAATTTGAGTTTGTACCGCTGTTTGCATGGATCTAATACCTTATAATATATATATTTTGAACGTTAATCTTACGGATAATGCTAAGACGGCTGATCGAGCGGATCGTTTAGGGGTGTTAAATGCTGACTTGGTCGGACCTTACATTCCCCTCCCTTACAGCGATTGTGAGTTACATATATCGACATGGCGTGTGTAGTCAAATAAGTGGCTTAGCTTTGGCTTTCCGACTGGCTAACGCTAGGTCTAACTCTAATGGCTATGGCTCCAACTGTACAGGTTTATGCTTTGAATTCATCTGCCCAGAGATGGGACAGTCATACTGAATTGAGTATAGGGCGTTCATAATTCTTTTCCGCTTCTCCGTCGCTTCGCTTTTTAATTGTACTTAATAGGTATTGTATTGTATTTTGCCTGTCCTGCGGGATCGGGAAACTGCATTATATGTTTGAGCGTATAGAGTTTGCAACGTAATTCTTAGGCCTATGTACTTGATAGTTTTAATGGAACGAAATGCCGACGCTCCATTCATGAGCTGCTACTGATGCACCTATGTGCGCCTACTGTATCTCTGGTTTTCTTTCGAGTCGTATAATTATAACACAGATATGAACTGATTAGTAATTAGTAATTGCGGTTGCCTGGCTATATTCGAAGTGGGAGAAGCGTTACTAGTACTTGGTTAGGTTTAGTTTTAGTTGCAGGAATACGATGTACCCATGATCCACAATAAATCATTCATCACTCGCAGATGTCAACTTAAAGTAGTAGCCTAACTTATGTGCGGCTCTGTAATTGCACCGCACATACAAGTAAATGTGTATGTATGTATACATAGGGAGTATATCTATTTTTAGTAACATTCGAATAAGTGAAGAGAACGAAATCCACTTCCTGCCATCTCCTCTCGGCAATCGGATGTCTTACATTCTAGCTGTGCACGGTTCCATTAATCTTAATCTACTACTTGTCCCGCTGATCTCCGCTTGGCGGCGAAGTGATGCGCGCCGGAAGTGCTCCAATGTGCGGGAAACCAGCTCCGGATCCGTATATCCTCTGATAGTTAAAGCTTCCAATGATCCTCCCCTCTGTCTATCCAGTGTTTCCAGCGCTCCCAGTGTCCGGCACTTTGTGCCCCATCTTCAAAGTCTACATGCAACCGTACTTGTTTGAGTCATCCCCTCCGCAGGACTCTTTAGAGCCCTCGATCCTTCCCGTCCTCTGGTCTCCCAGGTTTCTCCCCCGACCCGTGTCCCATCCACGCCCAAGTACCGCAGCCCGTAGCCCCCTTACGGGTATAGTTACATGTAGCTATTGCTTGTTTGTTATCCAATGTCACGGACGATCTCAATCTTGTCGCACAGCTCCGAGTCGGGGTCGTGGATGGTGGTGAAGTGCGTCCGGTCGCTCCGGAACGTGTTCCGCTCGTTCGAGCTGCTCTTGATCGACCGCTCGGAAGGCGTCTCCGTACCGCTAAGCTGGATACGCTTCTGCAGCGCCGATACAAAGTTCTGAATCGAAAGATAATGATAAATCGCAGATGTGTTTGCCAAATCTTAATCTTAAAGTAAATGGGACTTTATCTGTAATTCTTGGTCTAGCCAACTTTTATTTTAAGAAAACGAATTTAAGATTGTGGTAAATGTTCCAAATGCAAAGGATACTTTGCTTAAAAGGCAAGACAAGGCATGGACCTATGTGTACACAGTGCCATTTGAATTATATCTCGTTAAAAATTGTAATGGGTGAGTCGCTCTTACAGCACTTAATATCACCCTAAACCTAGAGGAAATCGAGGACTAGTTGGAAATCATTATTAAAACAAAGGCAACGATATATGTATGTAACACGCACTTTTTCGAAAATATTTCTTCTGGTAGGGCTTATATGCACCAAAGCGCGTAGTATTGGGATTGGGTTCAATAGCACAGTGCAACATGCAAATTGCTGCTGCAGCTTTGACTTTGCATTCTAAAAGTACTTCATAACACTAAAAACTGTGCCCAGTGTAGTTCTTCGCAAAAGCGAACTCGATCGGAGTCAGTCCCCGATCCCACTGCTCCACAGAGTAGTCCACTCACCTGCGATATGATGTCTCCGCGGGCCGTGCGCACCTGGTACAGGTACCGGAACTTGCGCTGCCTGGCCTCCTCGCGCGTCTCGCGGGTGCGGGACTGGGATCGACGCACGGGGGCGAGGGCGTGGCCCGGCCCCGCCTGCTGCTGACTGTGCGGCAGGTGGGCGCCGTGGGCGTGGCCGGGGTGGTTGTGGTGCCGCATGTAGACGCGCTTGCGGTGGTCCACGCGCCAGGCGGTGATGAAGCACTGCACCATGATGCTGAGGACGATGGTGACTGGCCAGGCGGCGATCAGGAGGCCGCCGTAGCAAGGCGGCGGCGAGGGATGCGGTCGCATGCCGATTATCTGTGGGCGAAAGGCGGAGGATAATGCGAAAGACAGTTAAAAATAAAAGCTTCATTTAAACTTGTATGTCTAACTTATAGTTTTGCAACTCAAATGGACAACTGATAAAAAACGTTGATAAAGTATGACCAAACAAGAAAGGAAGCAAACTTCGACAAGCCGAAGTTTATATACCCTTGCAGTTATTACAAATCGACTACATTTCGATTTCTATACCTACATATATTACTAAAAACATTACTATGTCGATTTTGGGCTGCATTTTGCCATCGTTTCTATGGCAGCTATATGATATTGTTGTCCGACTTTAATAAAACTAAAGTGTAATTCTGATAAAGTATATGATTACAATATCTCAACGGAATATTTTTATAAATAGAAAAACAGATAAATAATTTTTTTAAATTAGTTTTTTTTTTAATTTTTTGATTTTCCTATGGGAGCTATATGATAAAGATGTCAGATTTTAATTTAATTAAAACCGCAATTCCATAGTATTTAAATAATATGTACCAAATCCGAAAGAACAACAAAAAAATTAAAAACAACAAAGTTATATTTTTTTGAAATGTTTTTTCCGATTGTTCCTATGGGAGCTATATGATATAGTCCCCGATCCTGCTCGTTCCGACTTATATACTACCTGCAATACAAAAACAAGTTTTGGGAAAGTTTTAAGCAGATAGCTTTATAACTAAGAGACTAGTTTGCGTAGAAACGGACAAGAATATATGTATATACTTTATAGATCGGAAAAGTCTCCTTCACTGCGTTGCAATCTTTTGACTGAAATTATTATACCCTCTGCAAGGGTATAAAAATTGGTTTTAAAAACCTCTCCACAACAAAATTCTGGAAAGATCATGCCGATGATCTATGGCCAAATGGTAAAACATGCAAAGGTCTCCACCATTAGTTAAATAGTTTGCAAGTCTCTAGAAAAACATAAAATAGCCGTATCCATCTTTTTCAAACAGTCAACTTTCTATAGCTTTCTTTATATAGTAAGAAAAGAAAAAAATTGCCTAAGTACATAAAATAAATATAATAAAAAGGACCGGACCATTAATGGGAACCATACAAATCGAACGTCTATATAAGGATATGTATGATATAGGTCGGATAAGTCTTTACTAATCTTCCCGGGGGCCAGGAAAAAATAGATATGCTTTTTGTACTTACCCAATTGATGGTCTCTAGGCCGTGCATAAAAAAGTCGATGGCGCTGAGAATCATGGCCGTGCCCACAATGCTGGAGGTGAGTATGGTCACGTACTTCACGCAGCACAAGGTCAGCACCGAACAGATGACGGCGCCGCCCACCACGGCCACATAGATCTCGCGGTACTGTCGAGGGGAGGGATATATTAATAGGTATTCATAGTAATCGAACTCCGAAAGGCAACCCCAAGTGGGGGACTTACCCCGAACTCGTTGTCCGGAAAGGTGGCCACGCACACGGCCATGGCGGCGCCGGAGAGAAGGGCGCCGGCGAAGGCGCTGATCAGCACGGAGGCCACCGGGTACGTGGAGCCGAGGACCGCGCCCAGCAGTCCGGCCACGATGGCCAGCGCCGAGTCCGCCGGCTTGCCCAGGAAGGTGATCTGGAAGTCCTGCAGGATAAATATACCGTTGGCGCCCACCATCAGTCCGCTGAGGAAGCCGACAGCGCGCAGGCAGCGGTAGCCGAGCAGGGCGTACACTATGCCGAACACGGCAAAGATGGCCCACAGGATGGCGGCCAGCGGTTCCGGCGCAGTGGGTGTGCAGGTCTGGCCCTCCAGGATGCCCTGTGGAAGGAGGTTAGAGGGTTGAGGCGGGGTCATCGTAATTCGAACAAGGACGCGACACACTTATCAAAGGGCCGCGATGATGGCGCCACTCTTCTGCTCCCAACTTTTGGTTACTGGCATGTAAAGTATACATATGACGGTTTCAATTTACGCCACTTAAAATACACATTAGTCCGCCTAGAGCTAGCTAGCCCTCTTTACGATACCCATATGACTCAACTGCATATTATCTATGACAGGGCCCTGAAACCTATTGAGATTTGTAGAGTATTAAATTCTTTTTAAAATGTATATGGTTAGAATCGCCACTTATTGCCACTTTTTCCAAAATTTAATTTTTAAGCACATAACCTCAAGTTTTTCAACCTTAACAGTAGTTGCGTTGAATATTAGAATCCTTTTGATTTTCAATGAAATATTGAACTAGAATCCGAAGAGCATGATGTTTAATAGCAGGTGCCATTTTTTTTACTTATTAATAAAATTTGTTTAATCCGATTTTTGTGCATTTACATTGAACCTTTGTGGAACGAAGAACATTTTGTTTTGCATTTTGAATTCTATTCAGAAACAGATATAAAAAATATAAAAAAAATATAATATAAATGTAATTATAAAGTATATAATAAAAAAAAAAAATTATTCGATTATCTTAAAAAATAACAAAAATACTAAATCGATCGTATGGCAGCTATGGGATATATTTGTTTGATCCTATTCATTTTAACATATATGTTGCCTAAAGATACCAAAATACGATTGGTAAAGTTTTATCTCGATATCTCTAAAATTGAGCGAGTTATTAATTTTGGCCAACAAAAGTGGTCGTTGGCCCCATAGTGCAGGGGTGCTCAACTTACTCCTAGGTAAAGCTTTAGGCGCACACAGCATTGTAAAAAAACATTTTACACTTTCTTCTTTCTGTCGAGATCATATCCTGATTGGACCGAGTAGCCGACAACAATTTTAATTTGTATAAAATTTTTTTTTGCACCCCTGGTGCAAATTTAAATTTTGGGTTTTCATCGAAAACTTAAGAAATCTACTGGTTTCGTAGAGGATCCTGATAGGATCAAAATATGCAAAACAAAATAGATATTTAATCTGTTATTTTGATCCTGAATCTGTTATTTTGATACTGAAAACCGTGTAATTTTAATATTAAAAAACATCGGTTATTCTAAGATTTAAATAGATGTGTACCAAAATGATACTGGGAATTAGCAGAAATCATAACACAACAATGCTTTAATTTTTATTTTGTGTAGGGCGACGATTAAAAATATTTCGAAATGTAAAAACGGTTTCAAAAATTTTTCAACTCCTTCTAACATATTGGAATGACTTAGATCATTAACGGGATGAGAAGAGAAGATGACAACTTTTACACGCTTATAACATACATATATCAGAAGTATATAGAAGAAACAGTAAATAGTGAATATCGAACCAAGAGTTTGCCAAGAGTCTGGCTTATAGTGATAGCTTTCAATCGGAGGGAGTAAATATTACACGGGCATGTCTGTATTTTTTTTATCATGCTTACATCCTACATATGTATACTATCCTAACATATTTTTGATTTTTTGCAGAAATATTTAATTAACCTATTCCTTGTTTACAGCAGGTACCATTATTAGGTTCTTTAAATTGCGAGTCAGAGGCGAACTAAGGCTTTTGCAATGGGAACATTGAAGGAGCGCAGCGTCAGCTTCCGTTTGGTCCTGATGGTGACACAGCTATTGACACACAAACCCCACTTATACACATTATACCCGACACTTTGCATATTGTTTCGACTTAACCTAAAAAGCGTGCAAATATGGGCGCCTGTGTTGGTGTTATTTACGGCGAGTCCTGTGAGAGAGCGCGTGTGTGTGCGTGGGGAGTGTGTGAGTGTGGTTGTTGAGTGTCACGAACCTTGATGAGAAAGGGCCAGTCCAGGTGGGTGGTGCCCATTGAGTCCTCGCTGCCGTAATCGTATACCATGTCCGCCCCCACCCTCATTCCGGCTGATTAATTTTTGGCGGACGCTTGGCTTCCAAAAGCGATCTGTGATTTGTTGTTTTCGTTGCAGCAGGATACCAGAAGAGTATCCTGGTAGTCGATAGTCGGTTAATTGGTCCTCACTGGCACAAAACGGGTCCACATTCCTTCACTGATTCGGGCATGGCTGTCCCTTCTCCGCTTTGTGTGTCAACCAAAACCAGAGAAGCCCTAAAATAGGGCGGAGCACTGGATGTCTTGCAGCCGAACTTGCACAAAAAATACACCCGATCCTGCCAGCCAAATTACTGCGGGTATGCTGCAGTATTTGTACACATTTTCGCACTGCGACGTGGGACTGGACGCTTGCTACAATCGGGGCCAAGCCAGAATAGCTTGTGGTACAACAGGAAAACAGTCCTGCGGCCACGACAGGGATGGCTATGGCTATACAACGGCGATGGGCGCCTGTCCGCTCTTGTGGGTCAGAAAGGACCTAAACAACCCCCGAAAGGCAAAGCCAAAAGCTCAGGAGCCAAAGCTTCTCGCTCCGCGCAACCATGACCAGGTATACTATACCATTTAAGGTCTGTTTCTCTGCAAGGTATTCTCTTAGTTTATAAGACTTTAACTACTGTGTTTTTAGGCGAATCCCAATTCTGGGAAATATTTTGTAATACAATTCAAAAACAGATGAGGCATTTAATAACCCACACAAATTTCAAAGAATTAGCCCGTACTGAAAACTAATTATGTCCTTTAATAAGCTCAAAAGCTTTTACTCTTTATTTAACACCGCAAATTAAATTCCCAATTGTTTTTGTCAATCGGAATAAAATTTTAAAATAAAAACAATGTAAGGAGTTGTAAACATTATGTTTCTTGGGTATTTGGGTAGGAACGTGAAAAGCTATGGATTTGGATTACAGTTTAAATTCGAATTTTACCTTACGGGGGCAGAAGTGGGCGTGGCCAGACACAAAGTTGATCTGCGCGGGAAAAATGTCTCCCTTTTATTTAATTTATCGGTATCAGGTTTCAAATTAATTTGCTTATTTATTTTTATTTTTATTTGCTACACTTACCCATTTTAATGTATTTGCAATAGTTGCAAATCAACAAGACATGGTAATTTTCTTGAAATTAAAAAAAATTTAAAGCGTTAAGATAAGAATACTTTTCCTAAATTAATAGAGTGGATTTTGCAATTTTTAGCTCTTAACTTTGAAACAAATAAAACAATACCGATTCTGCAGTTCTAATAGTCTCTGAGATCTCGGCTTCAATATGGACAGATCAAACTATTCGAATTTATATTTTGGTTGATTTTTTCAAAAAGTGAGCGGAAATCGGCATCCCAAGATTAAGCTGGCATTAAGGAAACAATGAATATTTAATGTGTTATGTCATACATTTTACTAGGACACGTACATATACATAGATGTCGTGCATGTATTTGGGGTTACAGAGTTTTGGAATGCTTTGTCGCAGTTTTCGCTACCGTCATACGTTACAACACATTGAGGACATGCATCTCCGATTAACAATTAACAGTTCTCTCGACAAACTTGATTGGTTTATATGTGTGCATATGCATAAATAATGTATGTATGTGGCGAAGCCGCCAATACACAATATAGTAATAATACGTAAATTACAATTTATTGTTGAGCTAATCTTCAACACCTGCTGAGAACATCTTGTGGATTCCCTCATAAATTGATCGCTCCGATTGCTTTGTGCTCCTCGTCCACCATCCGACGTCTTCCGTGGGATGCTTATGGGGAGCGGATGATGGCCTCGTAGGCGGCAAAGATAATGTTGGCCACCTCTACGGAGCGCGATTTGAGGCTGAGTGTGGCGTCTGGGTTGCCCGGCTGCAGCTTCAGCTCCAGGAGCACCCAAATGCTGTTGGTCAACTTGAGTGATTGGTAGAGCATGTCCTGGCCCTCGACGTTGCGCTTAGCGATGGTGAAGATGTTGTTGGTGGTCATCTTGGAGGCGATTCCGTCGGTGGTGCCAATGACGCCGCTTAGGCTGTACTGCAGTTCGTTGGCGGCGGGGATCTCCTTCCAGGTGTTGAGGAAGACGCGCTTGTCCAGCTGTCCGTCTTCGGCAAACAGCACGTTGCCGTGCACCAGGCAGGCGAAGTAGAAGATGTCTATGTTGTTCTTCACAGCCACCTGCAAGTTGTTGAGGGGCTCCATGCGCTGGATGGGTCCATTGGTGCCCAACGCCATGCTCACCTCGATGGACTGGTTGGGTGGGAGAGGAGCAGCCTGCATGGGCGACGCGGGCACCAGACCGAAGCTGTTCTTGTTTAGTTGGATGGCGAAGTTGGTCATCGGTTGCATGGCTTTGTTAGTCAACGTCATGTCCATGAATACCTCTCCGTTGCGGCGTGAGAACGTACCCTGTATCTCTAGGCCCTTGCCCTTCTCCGCCGGCAGCCATGTGACCTTAGGGATTTGCACGCCCACCGAGAGCGAAGCGCCGCCCAGACCGAAAATGTCGCCCAGCAGACTGGTGGCACCGCCGGGAGCAGCCTCTGCAGGTGGACCACCCAGCAGAATGTCTAGACCGCCGCCCAGTAGGTCCACGTTGCTGGTTGCCGCTGGAGCGGAGGGCATGGCGGGTGCGTTGATATCCATGGAAAGCAGATCGCCGATAAGAGATTCCTGGTTCGGGATGACCATAGCCTCTGAACCGGCTCCGCTCTCTGGCTGTTCGGCACCAGCTCCGGATCCGGCGGCGCGATTGGGCAGCGACTTGCGCACTCCGGCCCCGCGACCCTCTACGAACGCGGTCGGAGGCTTGTGATACACACTAGCCAGCGAGCTGATATGACAGATGAGCTCGTCCAGCAGTGTCGGCTCCAGAAGGTCTGTTTCTTCCGAGATGAGCGGCTTGTCGGCCAGCACCACCTCCTTGGCGGCTGCCGGGTCCGTGGACAGCAGACGCCAGTAGATGAAGCCACGGTCACGCAGATCGGGGTTGTCCGAATCCTGGGTGGCCAGTGAGAGTACGTGCTGTACCAGCTCCTGGGTGTCTGAGGGGCGCTTGAGGAACAACTTAACCACGGCCGTGAGCAGCTGTAGCTGCACCTGTGCATTTTCATCCTGGAAAATTAAAAACGCGTTGCATACATTTTGATAAAATGACAAATGATTTAAGCACCGACCTGAAAACCCTCGAGGAAGCTGTCAAGCAGCTCGTCGGCGTTGTCAATGCGCTCCGCGTACTCGCCAATTATCCAAACCATCGATGCGCGTGCCTCCGGTTCGTCCAAGGTGTCCAGGTTCTCGCACAGCGTGCTAATAATGCTCTCGTACTTGTTAGGGTACTTGCGGAAGATGTCCTTGATGACCACGATTGCCTCTTGCACCACGTAGTTGACCTTCGTCTGGATAAGATCCAGCAGCGTGGAGACGCAGCGCTCCGCCGAAGGCTCCACCTTGATTGCACATCGCCCGATGGCGCGCACTGCCTTGCGCACAAAGTCCACGTCCACCTCGGTGGCATATTCTTTAAGTTCGCTGAGTACCTGGGCAATGTTGCTCTGGTTGGCCAGGCGAATCATGATGTCGAGCTTCTCCAGCTTCACGTAAATGGGGTCGTTGTACTTGACGAAGAACACCTTCATTTCGTGCTTAAGGATGTCTGGCCGCTTCTGGACGATCAGATTGATGTTGCGCAGCGCCACGTACTGCACCTCCGGCTCTGAGGAGAGCAGCGTGACCAATGGCGGCGCCAGCTTCTTGGTGAGTGTGGCGCAGAAGTCGCTGTCACTGGAGAGCATCTCGAGCAGCTTCATCAGGACCTTGACGGCGCTGAGTACGACGGCGGCGTTGGCATGGGCCAGACGCGGAGTGATTCGCTCGCAGATAGACTGAGCCTCGCGCTCGTCCTTGGGGCTGTAGTTGGCTAGCGAGTCAAGAATGAAGACCTGACCCCACTCAGTGCACTCGTTGAGTGCCGTCAGCAGCTTGTTGATGGTCACCGAGTTCATCTCCACCAGCGGCTGCCCGGATTGGCTGGCCTCGTTGATCTCGCTGAGCGCGGCAACCGCGTTAGCCACTACCATGGGATTCGAGTCGGACAGCAAGTCCTTCAGCTGGTCCAGAAAACCCTGGTCCTCCACCATCGTGGCCGAAATGTCGTACAGCTTAGCCACGCACACGGCGGCCGTCTTACGCACGTACGGGTCCTCGTCCTTCAAACACTTGCGAAGCGGCTCGCACAGGTACTCGGTGATCTTGTCCACCCGGATGCAGCCCATGGTGCGCACGGCCAGCGCCCGTATCAAGGGATTCGAGTCCTCACAGTCCTTCACGAACGTGTTCACCGCCATGATAGCCATGTCCGGCTGAGACTTGGCGTAATTCATCAGGTAGAGGTATACCAGCTTCTTCAGCTCCAGATTGTCTGTCTGCATGCAGTTGACCACGTCTGGAAAGAGGGCGGAAACGTCCTTGCCCACCGTCATGCTGGCGATCACCTTCTTAACCGCCTCCTTCTTCTTCTCCTTCTTGTCATTGTTCAGCTCCGACTTCAGCTCGAAGATCTCGCCCTTCTTGGTGGTGGTGAAGTACTTGGAATCGGTCATCGTGGCTGCTGCTCCTCGGTGCGAACTAGCTCTGTAGATCAAAACAAGGATGGGAAGAAGATGACATTATTGATTGCAAGGGCCCCTTTTTTGGGGGCGTAGTGGGCGCAGTCACGGAGTCAGTCGAATACCAACACACATTCGCCCGTATCGCGTATCGCAGCTTGAACACGTCTCAAAAATGTCCCGGAATTTGGGAAGGGCTTCAAAATGGTCCGGGCAAAACAGGTCCAGGTTATTCCGTTTGCCAGATACTTCTCCAAACAAAGCTCACCTTTAAATACCTTTTAAATGATTAGTTTTCGGGCACAGAAAAATTGTTAGCTTTTCCTCTCTGCGTAATTAGTGCGACCGTTTGCCGGGGAGTGACTAGACCGGAGCTCGCGAAAATAATACCACATTTGGTATTTTTTTACCGTAGAGAGAAATAATACGTATTTTTATAGTTTAATTTCACTAGAAATAGTGATAATGGGCTTTTCACACGTGGTTTTCTTTCATACGGTTAAGATTTTTGACGGATGTCAAACTTGTGCTCGTACTGAGTCACCATCTAGAATTTCTTAAGGGGGTTAAATCTGTCAAGCTTTTTAAAAACTTTTTTTTTCGCTTTTATTTGCATAAAAATTTTTTTTTGTGTTGCCGCGTATAAAAATTGCCTAAATATCGCATAGTGCGGTTAGGATCATTAGTACACTATCTAGGACTAAATGGAAAATATTTTGCACGAAAAAAACTTTTGGATTATCCCGCAAATGAGTGCAGTTTGTGCTCTGTGGGATATGTCTATAACAGCCAAATTCAAATGTTCATTTTTCACAGGATCTGGCCTCTTTATTAAGATGCCCTAATCGTAGACCAACAAGGTATTTTAGAAATTGTGAGCACAATAAAAAATATATCATATTTAATTTGAGCACAATTTGGCCGCGGCTATTCAATCATCGTATTAATCGTTGGGACATAAAAAAAATGTTTTATTATTGTCGCTGTCCTCTGCGGCGTCGCTCCTGGCTTGCTGCTCGCCGGTGTCTAAGATCGTGACGGCTCCACCGAGACTTTGGATGTTATGCGAACTTCCCTACCGGGGCCGGCAAGGTGTATCGCCTAGCAGGTAGAACTACGTTCTGCCTTATCGCCCAGCCACCTTTATCGCAGGCTCCCGGAGTTCGGTTTGGATTTCGTCGGCAAGGTGTATCGCCTAGCAGGCAGAACTAGGTTCTGCCTTATCGCCCAGCCACCTTTATCGCCAGACTCCACGCAAGGACTCCAAAGGCTCGATTTAACCACTACCAGACTTGTAGACTCGTTCGGCGTCTCGACTTGGCGATGTTGTCTTGGCACTTGACTATCCTTGCTCACTGATTTCGCGTTCACGCACTCGCCTTAATTCTCGCACTCTCACTGATGACTGAGTTGCGCTTGCGCCGTCCTTTTATAGCCCATGGTGGTCCCGTTATTTCCCTCCTCCAGCTCACGTGCTGTACCGTTAATTCACGGTCCGTCCTCTTTGTGCGGGTGCGAAGTCCACCTGTTTACCGTTTGACCTCGTTGCCCTTGCCGAGTGAGAGTCCAAGGTCCAGCGCTATACCGTTAGTTCACGGTCCGTTTGTTTCCCTTTTGATCTGGATGCTCTTGACTCATCCGGCATTCTTGCCTACTTCGCTGTTGCTAGGCCGCTCTCCTGCATCGGGATTTGTGGGGACTTTTAAAACTCTTCACACAATTTTAAAATAAATATGCCTTAGCAGTTGGTTGGCCAAACAAAGCAGGTGCAGCTACACAACTTCTGAAACAATTGTTTAATTTGAAAAACTTTGCCGTGTTCGCCTGGTCCTATGTCCATCCATTACTCTGTTGGACTATATACATACAGTCATGGAAAAAATAATAGAAACGACAATTTTTATACCCTTGCAGAGGGTATTATAATTTTGGTCAGAAGTTTGTAACGCAGTGAAGGAGACGTTTCCGACCCCATAAAGTATATATATTCTTGATCAGGATCAATAGGGGAGTCGATATAGCCATGTCCGTCTGTCCGTCTGTCCGTCTGTTTCAATACCGTTTGTGAGCTCAGTTTAAAAGCTAGCGATCTGAAACTTTCACACGCGTCCTAAAACATGTGTACGCAGATCAAGTTTGAAAATCGCCCCGATCGGACGTCTATATCCTATAGCTCCCATAGGAACAATCGGATATATCTAGCAAAAATTGATGATATTTCGCGCAGTGTAAAAGCTATTGACATGAATTTTTCCAAATCGTATTTTTTTATGCATACCTTGATCAGGGTAAAAGCGCGTGGCAATCGGACGTCTATATCCTATAGCTCCCATAGGAAAAATAGGGTAAAATCGGTCCAAATTTTATGTTTTTCAGAATATTTCGCGCTGTGTAAAAGCTATTGCTATAAATTTTTTCAAATCGTATTTTTTTATACATTCCTTCATCAAGGTGAAAGCGCGTGCTGATCGGACGTCTATATCCTATAGCTCCCATAGGAACAATCGGATATAACTTTCAAGAATGGAAGATATTTTGTGCAGTGTAAAAGCTATTAACATAAATCTTTCCAAATCTTATTTTTTTATGCATACCTTGATCAGGGTAAAAGCGCTTGGCGATCGGACGTCTATATCCTATAGCTCCCATAGGAACAATAGGGTGAAATCGGTTAAAATTTAATGATTTTTAGGATATTTCGCACAGTATATAAGCAATTGACATGAATCTTTCCAAATCGTATTTTTTTATGCATTCCTTGATTATGATAAAAGCACGTGACGATCGGACGTCTATATCCTACAGCTCCCATAGGAACAACAGGGCGAAATCGGTCCAAATTTGATGATTTTCTGAATTTTTCGCGTAGTGTGTAAGCTACTGACATAAATTTTTCCAAGTCTTATTTATTTACGCATATCTTGATTAGGGTAAAAGCGCTTGCCGATCGGACGTCTATTTCTTATAGCTTCCGTAGGAAAAATAGTTAAAGGGTGCGAAAGTATCCCTTTTTTTCTATTTTTATATGACATTTTTGCAGTATAAAAGCAATTGACATTAAACGATGAAAATCTAGTTTATTTATGTATACCTTATTCCTTTGGCTACTTTTTCAGTTTTAGCAATTTCGGCAAAGTCTGCAAGGGTATTAAAACTTCGGCTTGCCGAAGTTAGCTTCCGTCCTCGTTTATCGTATTTTTCAAACTTTTCTTAAGTCAATTTTTTTTTTTAAGTTTAATAATTTTGATTGATAGTCGATACAATTATGTGTCAAAATATAACAAAACAATAATTTTCAAAAACGTAATGAACTAAAAAATAATTTTTAAAATTTTTAGGCTTGGAAAAAATAATAGAAACGACTGAGTTAATTCTATGGAAAACAGTTTTGTAGCTTCAAAGCCTATTAGTTTTGATGGTAACTTTAAAATATAGTTGTGCCACTGCAACTTTTAATGACTTCGGGTCACCGGCGTCCCATTGAATCCACCAAATTGACACAAATTGATGGTTCAATGGAGTACCACTTGGACTTTACTTTCTTCCACAAATCTTCTCTATTTTTGGACTTAAACCCACCAATCCTCTTCTTTATTATTCCCCAAAGGTGCTCTATAAGATTTAAGTCTGGGGACTGCGATGGCTATTCTATCAAGGGAACTTCGTTGTCCACAAACCATTTCTTGACCAGCTTTGAAAATTGGTTAGGGTCATTATCCTGCTGAAACTTCCATTCAATTAGCATTTTCTCTTCAGCATAAGGTAGCATTATGCTGTAGAGTATGTCTACGTAGTGGGTGGCACACATTTTTTCCTTTATCCAATGTATTGGACCAACACCCGACTGGGAAAGGCATCCCCACAACATGATTTTCGCACCACCATGTTTAACGGTTTTAATAGAGTACTTTGGGTCGTGGGCAGTATTCTTAGGACGCCTTACATGTGGTTTCCCATCAGATCCAAACAAATTCATCCTGGTTTCGTCCGACCACAACACATTTTTCCAATCGGAGGGCAATAAATCCACCTTCGCGAAATTTACACGTTTGCCGATATTTTTCTTGTCGAGGTATGGTACCTTTCGGTCTGAATGGGCTTTTAGATCGGCTTCAATCAGCCCATTTATAATGGTTCTACTTTTAAATTATTAAACTTAAAAAAAAAAAAAAAACTGAAGAAAAGTTTGAAAAATAGGAAAAAACGAGGACGGAAGCTAACTTCGGCAAGCCGAAGTTTTAATACCCTTGCAGACTTTGCCGAAATTGCTAAAACTGAAAAAGTAGCCAAAGGAATAAGGTATACATAAATAAACTAGATTTTCATCGTTTAATGTCAATTGCTTTTATACTGCAAAAATGTCATATAAAAATAGAAAAAAAGGGATACTTTCGCACCCTTTAACTATTTTTCCTACGGAAGCTATAAGAAATAGACGTCCGATCGGCAAGCGCTTTTACCCTAATCAAGATATGCGTAAATAAATAAGACTTGGAAAAATTTATGTCAGTAGCTTACACACTACGCGAAAAATTCAGAAAATCATCAAATTTGGACCGATTTCGCCCTGTTGTTCCTATGGGAGCTGTAGGATATAGACGTCCGATCGTCACGTGCTTTTATCATAATCAAGGAATGCATAAAAAAATACGATTTGGAAAGATTCATGTCAATTGCTTATATACTGTGCGAAATATCCTAAAAATCATTAAATTTTAACCGATTTCACCCTATTGTTCCTATGGGAGCTATAGGATATAGACGTCCGATCGCCAAGCGCTTTTACCCTGATCAAGGTATGCATAAAAAAATAAGATTTGGAAAGATTTATGTTAATAGCTTTTACACTGCACAAAATATCTTCCATTCTTGAAAGTTATATCCGATTGTTCCTATGGGAGCTATAGGATATAGACGTCCGATCAGCACGCGCTTTCACCTTGATGAAGGAATGTATAAAAAAATACGATTTGAAAAAATTTATAGCAATAGCTTTTACACAGCGCGAAATATTCTGAAAAACATAAAATTTGGACCGATTTTACCCTATTTTTCCTATGGGAGCTATAGGATATAGACGTCCGATTGCCACGCGCTTTTACCCTGATCAAGGTATGCATAAAAAAATACGATTTGGAAAAATTCATGTCAATAGCTTTTACACTGCGCGAAATATCATCAATTTTTGCTAGATATATCCGATTGTTCCTATGGGAGCTATAGGATATAGACGTCCGATCGGGGCGATTTTCAAACTTGATCTGCGTACACATGTTTTAGGACGCGTGTGAAAGTTTCAGATCGCTAGCTTTTAAACTGAGCTCACAAACGGTATTGAAACAGACGGACAGACGGACAGACGGACAGACGGACATGGCTATATCGACTCCCC